GATGTAGTACCTGGTTCGCAACAATGCTTGGTGCGTGGAGAGAAAAGGTCGCCGCATGTGCCACATGCGGCGTAACCAGGTGCCTGGCTGCTCGAGCGCAAGGATCCAGGAGGAGACAAACTGAGTAGTAGCTCTTTTCCTCGACCTTTATGCTGACGTTTTTGGTGTGTAGCCAGATTCCTCGCCGTCAGGTTCGTTGATCCTTCGCTGATGCAGAGGGGACATGAATACCGTACTTCCGTTGGGCATCGTGGCGCAGGTCCTGGTACGGGTGATGGTGGTGCCAAATCTTGGTTCATGACACCACTCATTGCCGATGCGACTGGAGGCTCCAGTGCAAAGCGATTCCACGCCAGTCCATCAGTATACTGCTGCTGCTGCTACAACCTTCCACCACGCTACTGAGCGTGCGTGGTGGAAGTGGTGATCTCACACGAATTGGCCAAGAGGGAGAAGTGTGTGTGTGTGTGTGTTTTTTTTCCGGCACCATCTGCCGTCTTTCAACAATAATATTAAGTTGGACGGTATGCAAGACGTGCCTGGGAATGCAGTGCAAGAAACCGTTTCGAAATCGGCTCACATTTCAAGGACATACTGTAGACTATGCCCAAAACAGTGGATCGGGGGGAGTGGAAAAAAATAGCCAAAAAACAGCCCGACCGGGCAAAACGCCTCTTCAAGTTTTTTCGCGCTGCGCTCGAAAATTTATATAATACGTCCCCGCGTAGCCCTACCTATGGGCCCTGAGCCTCACGACCAGATACTGCTGCGAGTTATCTAACAGCGGCAATGGAGAAGATACTGCTGGTCTGCCTGCTGCTACCGCCCCTGCTAGCGATGCTGGCGACGCCGCCGCTGCTGTTATGGGTAGTGGTGGTAGAACAAAGGCGAATCGTGGATGCATGGACGCCACCAAGGTGTACATCTATCCCTCGTCTTTCTTCACCAAGCTCGTGGAGAGGGGCATCGCCGATTTCGATGCAAGTCAGTCACTTATGGGATGCATGCGTGAGTTGCTGTTAGCGTCGAACGCGATAGCCGCTGACCAAGGGATGTTTTCGCATGTGTTTATTTAGTAACATCGCCCGCGGTATGCTATAATTGAGAGTAATGCGCATCCGCGCTATTTTAGGTGCGTGTGCTTCTCGATGTCAACCATGAAACCAGAAACCGTTACGGCCCACCTATTCGAGGTTTTGTATCTGCTCGATAGGACACTGATGACGAAAAGGCACATTAACTTATTTCATGATATTTGAAACGAGTTTTCTTCACACAGGCAAGGATAATATCCTTGATGACCCCTGTCATCCCATGTAACGGGCTATCAGTGATTAAACTACGACAACGCTTAAGTTTGACCAACCTCCCCCACCTCGACTCGCTCACGAGTTTCCTACGACAATTACGTACCCACCTATGCCGTTTATCAGGCGGCGTACAGCTGTGTCAAGCGTTGGTCCCAGCACGTGGATCTCTCCTCGATGAAGTTCGTCATTGTGCCGGTGGTGGAGGACGAACACTGGAGCCTTGCGTGCCTAGACTATGCAACCTGGACAAGCTCGAGGTGCGGTATCTACGGCATTATCTGCATACTGTGTTCAACGGGAGATCTCATTCAACCACACACGCGTATCAGCAGACCCATATAGCGATAGGCCGAAGGTACCGTGCAGACAGACCTTGTTTTATTTGTTCGTGTGTCTGGATACGAGCATGGTAGATCTGCTAGCAGCACGGGGGGGTACGTAGACAGGAGCATGCGTATGCCTGAAAAAGGCTACTATGTGTGGGCCCCCTTCCCCGAATTCGGGAGGGCCACTTCTTCCCTTCCTTTCCTCGCTCCCGCGGGTGCCTAATCAGAGCGAGTTATAGCGTGTATTCTCCTCCCAAGTACGGAC